AATCAATATAGAAAGTAATTGAGGATGTACGAGTTGGACAGAAATAGGGTCTAATTTGAGGGAGAACCTCTATGGTCAACACACAGAGTGCGCACCTAACTGTGCGTATCTACTTTTTCAAGCATTCGGACCCTATAGGAAATGGCAACAATAACGCCACTGCTGTCGTTTGGCTGCCATATCTTTCAGTGTCTTCAACCAACTATTTGCAAGGTCTTTTGTACCCCAACCTGGAAGACGGTAAACACCTACTCAGCCTAATCTTCGCTACGACGAATGAAACGCGGTAGAGAACAGCTGGGCATTTGAAGTACGCGTTCTCACCAGCTACAAATGCTCATCTGAGTTCGATGTAAGAACGAATTCACTGCCAAATACACATCGGCTGACCTCAGTCTGGTTTATATGCTCACTCTATTCAACTCGGGCGATGATAATCAACTGGTAAGGTCAACTAAATAACCACCCGGATGTCCCGGGTTCAAATCCCGCCCATTCTCCCCATTTCCGTATCTCCCCGGGCAGCCTATGTATGACATCGACCCGCTTCCTCCAAGCTGACTGTACATTTTTATACTCACTCAATAAGATCGAAGTGAAAGTATGCGTTTTATGTATTTTAAATATGTAAACATCAATAGTCAAAGACTTCTTAACAATGTATTTCTTCGCGAATTTAAGGTCTCACAACCGTAATGTAGAACTGACAGCACACTGACGCAGTATGTGCAATCTTTCAGTTTCAGGAAAACATCACGTCGGCACCGTGGTATTACAGTTCTGTGTACGCTACTGGTGCCTTGGAAATGCGGGTGGGTACTTCTTTTGCTATGCTATCATCATTTGTCAGGCAACTAACTAAGTGGGAGAAACATCCCACTATAACTAATTCTTGACCATTAATCATCAGAACCGGGGTAGACGACACCCAATCTTGTAGCATCACTTTGCACTATGAAGGTGCAAAGCTCAAATCAAATAGAGTTACTACAGAACTTGAAAGGCTATCAAGAGCACTTGGCGCCGCAAACATTGTAACAGACGAACGGTGAGCACACCTCCTGGTTCCGAACGATTTGTTTACCCCAACGTAGACCCGTAGGGTACCGGAAGTATGCAAGTATAATGATCTCAATATGCTTAAATACTACAGCCAAGTCCCTTTGTGAAGCAGCCAACCCATTTGAACTTCACGGTTAACTGAAACGAAAGCTCCTTTGAGGTCAAGGAACACTGCACTTGTTTGTCGATGTGCGTGGCCCAATTCGAGGAGTTGACGTAAAATGAAGATTTGATTGATGCAACCACAAATTTGTCGAAATCCTGCTTGATGTGCGCAAATATTCATCTCCCTTAAGGGTGCTAGATGGCGATGTTTCACAGAAGTTACCGTGATGATCGGAACTAAACTTATCCTTCGGTGGTTTCCGCAGTCGTTTCGCGATCCTTCCTTGAAGATTGGAACAATCAGAAATTCACCCCGGATTAAGGGGTACCCTCTTTTGATCAGATGCTGCGAAATAAGCGAGTAATCGAAAAAAGTCAAGGAGCAGCCCATGAGGTCTCGTTGCTTCCCCTTTCTTTAGCGATTGAACACTTCTTTGTACTTCTTGTTCCATTGGCGGCTCAAATGTTACAGCCCAAGGATTTTCCGCTGCAATCATTGGGATATCTGTACCAGCACTGGGACAGTTAAACTAAAATACTAAATACTAAAATACTGACTGACTGGTACGCAACTATCTCCGGTACCCAAGTGAAACAGTTTTTGACTAGTCCCCGATGCATCGGCTACTTCCGTTTCAGCAGCTACTTTTGCCCACCAGTTTTCGCACTCCAAAGACTGCGCTGAAAGAAAAAATATGCCTGGATGTTGAATTGCGGTATTGACAGAGCAGAGAAAATTGAGAGTTCATGTAAACTAACGTGGCTTTTTATCCGAATGGGCAGCCTAAAGATAGCAAACCGCCGCACATAGGTGCATTGTTAATGACCCCAAAATCTGTACCTGAAACAGCAGTAATTGGTTTGCAACATCGTACTTGAAGGTCGATATAGCGATGACTTATCGTCAGTGGTTTCCGTTTTTAGCCATTGGTTTTAGAATAAATGAATTAATTTCCGTATGATAAATGACGCTCATCATTTTCTTCATATAGAAGAAGTTTAGGTGCTCGTGGACTTTGTTTGTTTCCGTCACATCGAAAATTCAATTCGACTCCATTTTTCGTTTTGTCCCGTAGGATGCCCCGTTGTGATCTACAAGACGATGCGCATTACTTTCGGAATCCAGTTTCCGTCTGCTCGTATTGAAATCTAATCTAGTGAAATCAGTGTAACAACCGTTCGATCTATTGTCTGCTTTAGAATTTCACCTACACGTTTTGTCTCTCCTGTTTTATCGTTTACTCTAAAGTGAACAGCGAACAGATGGACCAAACCGGCATTGTACAGCCTGACTTGTGGCCGGCCTTGCGCGAACACGGTCTGTTGAGCCTCCAGATTGATCGAGCTTTTGGTGGTCAGGGTCTCACCCACATGCAAGCGGCGCGCGCGTGGGAGGCTATTGGTCTGGATTTATCTGTGTTCACAATGCTAGATGTGCACTCCTTGGTCTCTCGAGTAAGTTGAGGTACAGCTTTGTTCGGATTCTTTTGTTGTGCCTTATAATCCGTTCCATTCATAACTATAGATGTGAATGCTCGTCTGGTTTTGTTTGTTGACCGTATCTTGTTTCTCTCTCTTCATTTTTTCAGCCACATTGTATGCTTCTCTGATATTCTGAATGTTAGTATAGCATAGGTTTGGTATTCGTTTTGCGTAATCTAAGGGTAAAATACTGTTTCAGTATTAAGTCTGTCCAGCTTTCACTTTAATTGTGAAGGCTGCCGTAGTAGGGAAATGACACCAATTGTACTACGGAAGTCTTATTTTACCTGGTGGATGAATGACGGATGAGGCTTCGGGTGTCTTTGGTCAACTGAAGAAAATTTTAGCATCGCTTCAAAATTCAGTTGTCCTTCATGAGCCCCCTGCAGCTGTCCGCCTGGTTCTGCTGTATTATCACTGCTGCGTCGTGCCTCACTGCTCGAGTATGGGACAACCGTATAAGTAATGACGTGATTCGGTGGGGAGACTGCTCAACTTCAGTGGATTGCACTGACTAGGGCCTTTGTTGTGCGTATCACTGGGCCGATTTACTCGGCATGTGATGCTTGCCGAAGCACGTTGTGGGTGGTCAGGACATGGTAGCCTGAAAACCCTAACAGAGGAGCTGGATGTTGTAAGTCGCTTTAGGCTTCTCTGTACGGAACCTCGTGAGTAATCAATGGTCAGAGATACTGCTTGTTGCATACAGTGGTACTCGTGCATCTACCCTATTTCTACGCAGTTCTAGTTTACTTGCTTTTTTGTATATTTAATTTGGATAATACCCCTAGCTGCAAACTTTTTACTCCCCCCCCATAGGTCAATCGAAAAAAACAGGCATCAAATTCTTCGCATAACAGTTAAAGTTCAATGGTTGTTGAAAACCCGAGATCAAAACTCCACCTTTTTTCCTCCTAGACAGTCGCATGGAAAATTCACCGTGCATAAATATCAATTAGCATAAAGTCGATTTCCAATCTTCACCGTTCATCTGGAGTGCCAGAGTTTAGAACAAACCCTCTGTGTTCTTCCCACCTTCAGAGACGTATCATTGAAATACAGAACTACAAGTCAAACACAAACAGAAGTATTCCTAGGCTTCGTCTACTTTTGATTATGAGACTGATGCTCCTTTTGACATTTCTCCATTCTAAAATGTTCATTATTTTTCTCCCTTTTCAATCTTCCCTCCGTTGTGGACGGTTTTGATACCTCATCTCTTTGAAGGTGACGGCTAAATGTGTATGCGCATATATCTTCATTCTGAGGTAGCCCTTATTGAGAGAAATTTTTTTATGGCCGGCAGGTTCTTTTTCCTTTCGATGGTGTTTTTTTATTACACACCAGTGTGTGATGAACAGCAGCAGGTCACTGATGGTTAGAGACACTGAGTAATATGGCTGGGTGTCGCAAACAGTTGCCCTAGTGCATCCACTCTTTAGTACCCTAACACCATTCTATATGAATTCTCCATCTTCCGCTTGAATTTGCTTTCAGTATTTTAATCTTCATTCTACTCTTTTATCCAAATGGGGCACCACAAGACAGCAATTAAAACCGGCGCACGAAAGTGCATAGTTAATGGTTGTAAAAAATGAATTGAAAAAGTTTCTTTGACGTGAACAACACACGCAGCTTAGATGTATCAAAAGTCTTATCGAAGGCGTCGGATGATCTTCTTTGTATGATCTTAGTTGAACGGAAAAGAAATAGACACGGATTTTTTCTTAGCCTCAGTGTTTTGTGTGGGGTTTTCCGTGCACCGAATCTTCTTGTTGACTAAACGCTCGGGATACTCGTTACGTGCAAAGATCGATTTTGAAGTACGCAGTTCTTCTAGTGTGTCCCTACTGCAGATTTTTCTTGCCCTATTCGCTACTCAACGAACCAGGTTCCTTGTTACCTTGAGTGGCACAAAGCTGCGGAAATGAATGTATTGGTCCTTCCAGATTGCCTTTCTGTACACGGAGCGCATGGATTGAGGTTAATCGCTACTGTAGAAAAATGCCGGTTTTTTCTCTCGATGCTACTGAATCCGTGAGATCCAGGGTAACGGGCACAATACGGGAAATCTAATCTTTCCATTCTCTTCATCGGCGCTCTCGCAATTTCCTTTCCCGTAAAAATATAGACTGTGTCCAATCATATATATATATACATATACATATATATATATATATATATATATATATATATATATATATATATATA